AATAATAGAAAATTGCATTTATTTTTATTTTTTTTTTAAATTCGCCAAAAGAATTCAATTATTAAAAATTTTGATAAAATTCTTCATGAAAATTAAACTTCAAGCAATTATTAAATAAAATATTTATTTTTGTATTTAAATAATTTAATTCTCGGAAAATTTTCTATTAAAAATTAATTTAAAAATTAATTTTAGTTAAAATTTAAAATTATAATTGAATATTAAAAACATTATAGCGTGAATTTTTAGAAATAATTGAATTTTGAAAAGGGTTAAAATTTAAATTTTTTGAAAGTTTGAATTTATAGTTACAATATTCTTGATATAAAAATAATGATTTTATCACACTGTCATCTTAAATTTATTTAAAGTTATTAAATTTGAGAATTTTAATTCCTATAGAAAAATAATAATGATTTAATATTTTTTTAAAAAAAGAAGTTATTAATGTTCGTCAGGGTCAGGGAAAAAGTGAAAATTTTGTGTGGAAATCAGGGAAAAGTTAGGGAAAATAAAATAAAAATTTTGTGTCAACCCTGAAATAAGAAGTATTTATTTAAATATTTATTTAATAAATTCGAGCCCCAGGAGAGTTAGTCCCTCATTTTTTCATAGCTTTAAAATTGGTTTTTCAATTATTTAATAAAATTATTAAAGTTTATAATAATTGAATTAAGAAATGAAAAGTCAGAAAAATAAAAAATAAAATTTTTGTGTCAACACTGAATTAAATGAAATGCTTTTTTTTATTACTTTTTTTGTATTTTTAATCGACTAAATCTTTAGTTTTGAAGATAACAATTTGCTAGCCTGTAGATTTGAATGTTACAAATTGAAATCTTGAAATTTCGAATTTTGCAAATTTGAATCTTCGAATTTCGAATCTCGTAGATTTTGAAATTCGGAAAAACAATTTGATTTTCTCTCAAAAGATGATAAAAAGAATACCGACAATAATTTTAATTTTTCTAAAAGCAATAGCATTTAAAATTTACGTAAGACTGCTTATTTTCGCATCATGCACTTTTTATGTTATCATTGTCATTCAACACGTTTCAGCGATAAAGTAACGATGACATTGCACACGCTTTTTTCTTTCTTTTAGCAAACTTAAACAGATAAAAAAATTCAATAAAAAAACAATTTACACAATATAATTTTAATAAAAAATTTTCAAAGTGTATACTTGTAAAATTTAATTAAAGATAGGAGGAAAAAAAAATAATTACCATCATATTAATAATTGAAAATGAAATTATATTGAATTATTCCTAATTTGTAAAGCAAGAGATTTTTAAAGGAAATGATTCAGAAAAATATTGATAAATTTTATTATTCTCTATGGAAGAAAAAGTAATATTAATTCAACGTTCAATTAATAAAGTATTGCAGTGAAGGTTAGAGGAAGTAAATAATGAATGTTAAAAAAAAGAAACAATGCATGCTCTGAAGAAACAAGCTTCTGTATTGAAAGGAAAATATTCAATAATTGGATCACAACAAAATATACGGAACTGAAAACATTGTCTTAATAATTTGTTTTAAAGATTGAAATGAGTCACCTGTTAATGACACTTTTGTCCACAATCAGACCACGTGAAGAAATTATTATCATTATAATTATCAATCATACTTTGAGAGAGTTCATTTAAATTAATTAATTATTTTTTATTTAAAATTCGGATTTAGCGATCCAAACAAACATCTGACAGAGAATTTTTCAAAAAAAAATAATTATTTAAGTCCAACGTAAAAATAAAAACAAAGTTAGAAAATTAAACAAAAACTTTGAATAATTGAGTTAAAACTTAAAAATAAATAAAATAATACAAACATAACCTTAAAACGATTTGCTTCTAAGGTATATACTTTTCTTCAGAGTGTATTACAAATAATCCGGCAAATTTTAACTTAAATTTTAATTGTTTATAAAATTAAAAATTAATAACTTATCAGGGTTGCCAGAAAATTTTAATTTTGATTTCCCCTAACTTTTCCCTGATTTCCAGACAAAATTTTCACTTTCTCCCTGATCCTGAAGAACATGAATAACTTCTATTTTAAATAAATGTTTAATCATTATTATTTTTCTACAGGAATTAAAATTCTCAAATTTAATAACTTATAATAAATTTAAGATGAGAGTGATAAAATCATTATTTTATATCATAAGAAAAACTATAAATTCAAACTTTCAAAGATTTAAATTTTAACCCTTTTCAAAATTCAATTATTTCTAAAAATTCACGCTATATGTTTTTAATATTCAATTATAATTTAAAATTTTAACTGAAATTAATTTTTAAATTAATTTTTAATAGAAAATTTCCCGAGAATTCAATTATTTAAATGCAAAAATAAATATTTTATTCAATAATTGCTTAAAATTTAATTTTCATGAAGAATTTTATCAAAATTTGTAATAATTGAATTCTTTTGGCGAATTTAAAAAAAATAAAAATAATGCAATTTTCTATTATTTTATTTAAAATTGAAAAAAAATAATCGAAATTCTGCTTTAAGTTTTGTTATTTATGAAAATAATTGAATTATCTTAAAACGAATTTTAATAAAAAATTTTTTAAAAAATTGAATTCCTGTGAAGAATTTTATTTGTAAAAATAATTGAATTACGGAGAAAAATATTAGGTATTATTTATGAAAATAATTAATTTCTTATGAAAAATTGTATTCAATTTTTTTTTAAATAATTGAATTTTTCCGAATTTTTTAAAACTTCTGAAAATAATTAAATTCTATCTAGAAATTTCATTTAAAAAAAATTGAAAATAATTGAAATCTGATAAAGAATTAAAACAAATTTTTTTTTAATAATTGAATTCCTGTGAAAATGTTTATTTTTGAAAGGAATTGAATTCTTGGAAAGAATTTTATTAAAATTTCTTAAATAATTGAATTGCTTCAAAGAATTTTTATTTTTTACGAAAATAATTGAATTTATTTTGAAAATTTTTACAAACATTTTTGACAATAATTGTATTCCTAGGAAGAATGTTGTATTTTACAAAAATAATTGTATTCTACGATGAATTTTATTATAATTTTTGAAATTTATAAATTATTTTATCAAAATTTTTAAAAATAATTGAATTCTTGAGAAAAAATTTTTTTTTCTTAGAAAGAATTGATTTCTAGCGAGGAATTTTATTTAAATTTTTTTATAATAATTGAATTCCATCGAAAAATTTTATTATTTATGAAAATAATTGAATTCTTGCCAAGAATTTTATATTTAATTTATGAAAATAATTGAATTCTTTTACAGTTAAAATTTTTTTTTTTTTTACAGAATTAGTTAAAATTTTAAAAAGAATAATTGACTTCTTTAGAAGAATTTTGGAACCTATTTATAAAAATAACCTAATTCTTAACAAGAATTTTTCAAAAATTATGAAAATAATATTTAATTTCTGCAAAGTATTTTGTTACCTTTCAAAAGAATTGAATTCTCGTGATGAATTTTGTTCTTTATCAAAATAATTGAATTTTAGAAAAGAATTTCATAAAAATTCCTTAAAATAATTGATTTTTTGGAAAGTATTTTCTTGTTTATCAAGATAATTTAATTTTTTTGCAGAATTTTATTATTTATATGAAACTAATTGAATTCTTTTGCAGAATTTTATTATTTATGAAAATAATTGTATTCTTGCCAAGAATTTAATAGAAATTTATTAAAATAATTGAATTCCTGTGAAAATGTGTATTTTTAAAAAGAATTGAATTCTTGTAAAGAATTTTATTAAAATTTTTGAAATAATTGAATTGTTTCAAAGAATTTTTATTTTTTACCGAAAATAATTGAATTTTTTCGAAAATTTTTATAAACATTTTTGACAATAATTGTATTCCTACGAAGAATGTTGTATTTTACAAAAATAATTGTATTCTACGATCATCTTTATTATATTTTTTCAAATTTATTAAGTATTTTATCAAAATTTTTTTAAATAATTGAATTCTCAAGAAAAATTTTATTATCTATGAAAATAATTGAATTCTAGCGAGGAATTTTATTCAAATTTTTTTAAAATAATTGAATTCCTTCGAAAAATGTTGTTATTTATGAAAATAATTGAATTCTTGTCAGGAATTTAATAGAAATTTCTTAAAATAATTGAATTCCTGTGAAAATGTGTATTTTTTGAAAAGAATTGAATTTTTGGAAAGAATTTTATTGAAAATTTCTTTAATAATTGAATTGCTTGAAAGAATTTTTAGTTTTTACCGAAAATAATTGAATTTTTTCGTAAATGTTTACTTAAATTTTTTAAAATAATTGAATTCTCAAGAAAAATTATTATTATTTATGAAAATAATTAATTTCTAGCGAGGAATTTTATTCAAATTTTTTTAAATTATATTGAATTCTTATTAAAAAAATGAAAAACTGTGTAAATAATTGAATTCTTAAGAAGAATTGTATTAAAAATAATTGAATTAATTGTATAGAAATATTTTATTAACTAAATCCTATAACGAATTTTGTCAACATTTTTTAATATAATAGAACTTTTAAAATAATTTTATTTAAATTTTTCGAAATAATTGAATCACTCAGAACTATTTTTTTCAATTCTCTGAATATATTTAAATTCTTTGGAGAAAATTTATTAAAAAATTAAAAATAATTGAATTAGTCCGAAGAAAAGTATAAAAAAAATTGTTAAGTATTTGAAGTCCTGTTAAATTTTTATCAAAATTTTTAATAATAATTGAATTCTTTTGGGAAAATTTTATTAAAAATAATTGAAATGTTGACAATTTTTTTTTTTTAATTTTTTGAAAATAATTGAATTTCTGCGAAGAATTTTATTACTTTTGAAAATAATTTAATTTCAGAGAAGGATTTTATTATTTATAAGGATAATTGAAATTTTGACGTGAATTTTAAAACTTTTTTTTTGAATATAATTGAAAATTATGCGAAGAAGTTCATCAGTTTTGAAGATAATAATATTTTTCTTTTTTTTTTGAAGGTGATGCAGCAGCAACAACAGCAGCACATGGCAGGAAGTATGGGAGGTGTAAGGCCACCGCCTCCGGAGTACAAAGCAGCGGCTCAAGCGCAGATGATGCATGCAGGAATGGGAATCGGTCAGCAAGCCAGGTTTCCCAATGCAGGTACAATGCGCAGAGTTACGCAGCAACCTATGCCACCTTCCGGTGAGTAGTGCACTTCATCAAATTAATTATCAAAAATTACCCTCTCCCTCGAAAAAAGAAAATAGTTTCTGCTTTTGTTGAAAAAAAAATAAAATTTTTTATGACCGTAAAATATTTACAATTTACAAAAGGGGAATTTCAGTATTTAAATTTCAAAAATTGTAATTAAAGGGGGAAATATCATTTTTCATCTTGACGTAATGTTAATTATGTTTTACCCGCATGATCCATAACGGATTTTATATTCCAACGTTGAGACGTTTCTAGAAATTTTCATTTTTCTTTCTATACAGAATTTAATTTCTAATTTTGTGAAAAGAAGTTTAATTACTTTTTTCGGTACTACAAACAAAGGGGAATAGAGGAAAATTATAAATTAAAGATAAACTTTGTAATTTTTTTACTTCAAGATACTTTGGAAGTTAGTAATGAAAAGGTAATTTTAATTCTTATTTCATTATATTAATGTGACTTATCCATTAAGTAAATTAATTAGAATTTTCATTTTTCTTTATTAGAATTTTTTTTTAATTTAAACTATATATATTTTAATTTTAGACAATTTTCCTGGTTAGTTTTCCAAATTGCAGATTCGATTATTAATTCAAATTAATTAATTTGAATTAAATTAGGAAAAAATAATTTCAATGAAATATTTTTGTGTATATTTGAGAAATTGTTAAAAATGAAAATTCCTCGTTTATTGTGATTAAAAAATTGTAACGAAAATATTGTTAACTGATAATATTCTCTGTGGTGGATATTTTATTGCGGTGAGTCTGTTTTCTTCGATTTCTCCTCTCACTTGTGCGCTTGTATATAGCAATATAGTCTCTCCAGCGAATGTTATGTGCCCCATGTATATTGGCTTGTAGCCAGACTTAAGGAGCACTCAAAATAATGAAAATGCGTCATTATTGATTACTCCTGTATATCTGTTGTGCGGAAATTTTTCTCTTTTTCTTTCTCTTTTAGATTACCTATACACACATTTATCCGAATCGTAAAAATTCATTTCTGATTTTTAACCGAAATTTTTCGGATTAAAAATTCCGATTTTAGTATTATTTATACAGACGGGATTAATTTCCTAATTTATTCCCTTAATTCTGCAAATGGATTAAGTGTTTACACTTAATATATAAATATTAATTGTAAATATTAATTGTATTAAATTTTTAGGTCCGATGATGAGGCCCCAAATGGCTCAACAGCAGCAGCAGCAGCAGCAGCAGCAAACGCAGCAACAGCAAACTTTGCATGCGGCTGGTGGGAATATGTACATGGGCGGTGGTGGAATGGCGGCGATTGGAGGAATGCATCAAATGCACCAGAGATTAGGATATCCGAGGACAAATAATCAGCGGCCGCCGAATGTCAGTGTGGGGCCAACGGACAACATAGGCAATAGCATCGCTGGCCGTGGACCGCAGCAGGAATGGCGGCATCTTTTAATGCAGCAACAGAACTTCCAGGCTCAAATGCGGCCGCAATTCAATCAACAAGGACACCAAGGTAATTAATTACAATAATTAATTAATTAATTAATTAATTAATTATTATTTTAATTAAGGACACCGTCAAAAAACAATTCCCATCACTAAAGGAATTCAATAATTAAAAATTTCCGCAATATCATTAATCCCCAAAAATCCTCTTGATATCATTAATGTCCATAAATCAGGGCACGAAACAGTGAAAGTATTTAAATTCTAATTCCAATTCCAATTCCAATTCCAATTCAAATTCCAATTCCAATTCCAATTCTAATTCTACTTCTAATTCCAATTCCAATTCCAATTCTACTTCTAATTCCAAGTCAAATTCTAATTCTAATTTCAGTTCTAATTCCAACTACTAATTCTAATTCAAATTCTAATTCTAATTACAACTATAATTCCGACTACTAGTTCTAATTCCAATTCCAATTCTACTTCTAATTCCAAGTCAAATTCTAATTCTAATTCCAATTCTAATTATATTTAATTTCTAATTTCAATTCTAATTCTAATTCTACTTGCAATTCTATTTCTACTTCTCGAAAGTATTTAAAAATACGGACTTTACGGACCTTAAATGAAAAATTACGAACCATTTACGGACCAATTACTGACAAAAATATAACCAGTCCAAGTCAAATAAAAGAACATTTTACTTAAAAATATATATTTACAAGAATTTTTAACTAAAATTTTTCTTTTAATCGATTATCTCTATATTCATTTTTAATAATTTTCGAAAAAGTTCTTTGACAATTTTCAAATCCATTTAATATTCAATTTTGCAAAGTTTCAATTATTCGTAAATTCTTCAATGAAATAAATATTAGAAAATAAAAACTTAAATTATTTAAATGAAAATAATTAAATTCTTATGAAGAATTTTATTCAAATATTTTTAAATAATTGAATTTCTCATAATTTTTTAAAACTTTTTGAAAATCATTAAATTCCATTAAGAAATTTCATTAAAAAATTGAAAATAATTGAAATCTGACGAAAGAATAATATTAAATTTTCTTTTAAATAATTGAAATCCTCTGCAAAATTTTTATTTTTCAAAAGAATTGAATTCTTGGAAAGAATTTTATTTTTGAAAAAAATTAAATTCCGTGGGAAGAATTTTATTAAAATTTCCTAAATAATTGAATTGCTTCGAAGAATTTTATTTCTTACGAAAATAATTGAATTGTTTGGAAGATTTTTACAAATATTTAAGACAATAATTGTCTTTCTAGGAAGGATGTTATATTTTACGAAAATAATTTTATTCTATGAACAATTTTATTATAATTTTTCAAATTTATAAAACATTTTATCAAAAAATTTTTAAATAATTGAGTTCTCGAGAAAAATTTTATTATTTATGAAAATAATTGATTTCTTGCGAAAAATTTTATTCGAATTTTTTTTTAAATAATTGAATTCCCATAAAAAATGTATTATTTGTGAAAATAATTGAATTCTTGCCAAGAATTTTATAGAAATTTTTTTAAATAATTTAATTCCTTCGAAATTTGATTATTTATGAAAATAATTGAATTCTTGCCAAGAATTTTATAGAAATTTTTTTAAATAATTGATTTTTTGGAAAGAATTTTGTTGTTTATGAAAATAATTGAATTCTTCTGCAGAATTAGTTAAAAATTTTCTGAAAAAAATTGATTTTCTGCGACGAATTAAAAGTTTTTTTTTATGAAAATATTTGAAATTTATTATTTTATTGAATAATTGAATGTTTCTTAAAATTTAATTCTTTTGTCAAATTTTAATAAAATTTTACAGAATAATTGCATTTTTCGACGAATTTATTTAAAATTTTATTAGAAATATTTAAAATTCTGAATATGAAAATAATTGAATGTTTTCAAAAATTTTTACAAACATTTTTGACAATAATTGTATTCCTAGGAAGAATGTTGTATTTTACAAAAATAATTGTATTCTACGATCAATTTTATTATAATTTTTGAAATCTATAAATTTTTTTTAAATAATTGAATTCTTAAGAAAAATTTTATTATTTATGAAAATAATTGAATTCTAGCGAGGAATTTTATTCAAATTTTTTTAAAATAATTGAAATCCTCCGAAAAATGTTGTTATTTATGAAAATAATTGAATTCTTGAATCGAATTTTAATTACAATTTTTTGAAGAATTGAATTCTTGTGAAGAATTTTATTTGTAAAAATAATTGAATTCTGGAGAAAAAGTTATTTGACAATTTTCAAATCCATTTAATATTCAATTTTACGAAGTTTCAATTATTCGTAAATTCTTAACAATTAAATAAATTTTAGAAAATAAAAACTTAAAATAATTTGAAAAAAAATTCAATGAAACTTTTTGGAAAAAATTAATTTCAAAATTCAATTCCTTTTAAAAATTAACGATATATTACTTTTAATATTCAATTTTTATCTAAAATTTTAACTGAAATTCATTTTTATAAAATGAAAATCAATTTTTATTAGAAAAAAAAAATTTTCCGAAATGTAAAAGTCAAATTTTCAAAGATTTTAATATGAAACCTTTTCAAAATTTAATTATTTCTAAAAATTCTTGCTATAATACTTTTAATATTCAATTATAATTCATAATTTTAACTGAAATTTATTTGTAAATCAATTTTTATTAGAAAATTCTACTAGAATTTAATTATTTACATACAACAATAAATAATTTGTTTAATAATTGAATTTGTAAAGATTTTTATCATCAAATTTTTATATATTTAAATTCTTTTGACGAATTTTAATAAAATTTTTAAGAATAATTATATTTTTTCGTGGAATTTGATTAAAATTGTATTAAAAATAATTGAATTCCTAATAAGAATTTTATTATTTATCAAAATAATTGAATTATTGCGAAGAAATTTATAAAAAAAATTTGTAAATAATGAAATTTCTGTGAAATTTTATTATTTAACGAAAATAATTAAATAATTAAATTTACGTAGAATTTTATTAAAATTTTTTATATAAAAATTGAATTCTTTTGGAAAATTTTATTAAAATAGTAGATGTTGAAAATCATTGAATTGAGGGAAATTTTTGAAAATAATTGAATTTCGAATAAGAATTAATTAATTATTTCTAAATATAATTGAGTTTCGGAGAAGAATTCAATTATTTTTAAAGACAATTGAATTTCGTAGAAGAATTTAATTATTTCTAAAGATAATTAAAATTTTGATAAGAATTTAAAAAAATTTTTGATTCGAGCCCTGCATAAATCCGTTTGATATCATTAATCACCATAAATCCGTTAATCATAAATCCCATAAATCATTAATTCCCCTTAAATCCGTTTGATATTATTATTCAACTGGGATTTTGAAATTCAAACGGATTTATCGAATTTGTTGTCAATTTTGAAATTGATTTCAAGTCTGGAATTATAGCATTGAATTTGTCGAAAGGGAAATTTTAATTATTTCTTTTCGTTGAAAGGTGGCTTTGGAATGGGAAATGCGGGCGGAATGCAGATGAGCGCTGCACAGATGCAACATCAACAGCAAATTCTACGATCTCAAAGTGGCGGTATGGGAGGAACTGGTATGCCCAATAGTTCGCAAATGCAACAATTGCTAACGCAACAACATCAACAGCAGTCCCTTGTGATGCAGCAGAACAATAATCAGATGACTATGCAGATGCAAATGTCGCAGTCGAGTTCTGTGACCAGCACGGGAACTGGTACGTCAAAATAATAATCACTTCACTTTCTTGATAATATTGCTTCAGGGAAAAATCAGGGATTTTTATTCAAAGTACAGGCCTCGGATATTATAACATTTTCGACTTTTCTTGACTTATTTTCAAAAATTACGACTTTTTCGACTTTTCTTCCGAATATTGCAATAATTTTTAGTATGAAATGAAACTTACTTCGATTTTTATATATAGTGTGAAAAATAACTATAGACAAATCTTCAAAAAATATTTTTTAATTTTTTTTTCGAATTAAATTTTCGAAATTTACAATTGAAAAGAGTTTCAATTAATATTTCAATTTCGTCAAATTTAATTGAAAATAATTGATTTTTTTAAAGTGTTTTATAAAAATTTTTAAAAATCAACTTTTAAAGAATTTTAATTGCAAATTTTGAAAATAATTGAAATTGAATTCCTTCGAAGAATGTTATTTTTAAAAAAATTTTTAATATATTTCTAATAAATTCAATTATGTTCTAAAATCTTAATAAATCCTTCGAAACAATTCAATTATTTTTATAAATGCCAAAATTATTCGCAAGAATTCAATTATTTTTATAAATAGTAAAATTCTTTGCAAGAATTCAATTATTTTCAAAATATCTTTAATTGAATTTCTCGGAAGAATTCAAATATTTTCAAATATTTCCATAAAATTCAATTATTTCCTAAAATTTTTAATAATTTCTTCGACACAATTCAACTATTTTTATAAATATTAAATACTAAATAAATTTTTAAAATTTACAGTAAAAAAGAGTTTCAATAAATATTGAAATTTTTTTAAAATTGAATTGAAAATAATTGATTTTTTACAAAGTGTTTGATAAAAATTTTTGAAAATAAAATTTAAAAGAATTTTAATTGTAAATTTAGAAAATAATTCATTTCTCAAAAATTTTAATAAAAAATCTTCAAGTGTAAATTTAAATATGGTAATTAATGAAAATTAGCTACAAAAAAATTATATTAAAATATTTTTGAAAAAAATAATTCTTAGAATTTTTTGCATTCTAATTTTTTAAAATTCAATTATTTTCGATATTTTCAAATACAAATTTCAAAAAATTCAAATAGGTACAAAAAATAACATTAAAATTTTTTACAATTACTTTTAATATTTTAACGACATATGATTTTTTTTAGATTTATTAAAATTTTGGAGAAATCGCGTTTATATTAATAATTAAAATTCTTTAAAAATTCAATTATTTTTTTAATAGAATTTACCAAATTGCAATTGTTTGGAAATTTTTCATTTCTATATAATTGAAAAACTATTATCTTTTATAAATTATTTTAAAAATATTTTTGAAAAATTAATTTTAAGAATTTCTTTATTATAATTTTTTGAAAATTAATTAATAACTTAAAAAACATGGACAGTTAGAATCATTATAAAGAACTGAATTTTTTTATTTAAATAATAAATCTGTTTATATTGTGGCTTTAAGGTCACAATATAAACAGATTTATTTGACAAAAATTAAGGTCCTGAAAACATTCTAAATTGTATTTAAATAATTGAATTCTCTAGGAACTTTCGGAAAATTATTAAAAATAATTGATTTCGAGAAGAAGTTTGATTAAAAATTGTAGAAAATAATTGAATTTTAAGAGAATTAAAGTTTTAATTTTTAGAAGTTATTAAATTTCAGAAGGTTTTAAATAGAAATTTTTAAAATTTTATTCCGGTATAAAAACAAACGAGAAGTATTTAAATATTTATTTAACGAAATTATTCAAGTTTTAAATGATTAAATTTAGAAATCAGTGAAAGATGAGAAGAATAAAAAATAAAATTTTTGTGACGACACTGAATTAAATAAACGACTTTTTCGATTTTTTTTCTATTTTAAATCGACTTTTTTTGCACCTTAAAGTCGATCCGAGGCTTGTAAAAATAATAATGATTAAATATTTATTTAAAAAAGGAGTTATTGATGTTTTCGAATAATTTTACTTTTGAAGAAATTTGTAAATAAATGAAGTTACAAAACATTTTTCTATTAGTGCGAATCTCAGAGATTTGACTACTTTTGAATTTGACGATAAATTCCTAAATTTCTGAAATAATAATTTCTCAGGTTCGCCAATGCATCCACATCAACAATACGGTGGCGGAAGTCCAGGAGTTCGAGGTCTACCACAGCAGCATTCTCAGCCATCCCAACCAGATCCGTCGATAGGAACAGCGGACTTTAATTTCGATCTTCTCGATAATTTACCGACTGGCGACGCAGCCAACTTCAGTGCCCAGGAACTTCTCAACTCACTGGACCAAACTGCTGGTTTCAATCTCGATATCCTGTAAAAAAAAGAAACAAGGAAACAAGTTCCACCCTCCAGCCCCCCCAGAGACTTGAAAAATCATGAAAACTTCCCCTCTTTATTGCCATTTGGTTTCTCATGACAATGAGTGAGAATTGAAGCAAAAAAACTCAATCTTGTTTTTTTTCTAAACTTTTACGATTGAGACAAAAACAATTGTTATATATGTGATTTAATGCGATTTTATCTAGAGGAACAATTTTTTTTATTCTACTTTACGGAAAAAAAAGTGTTTCCTTCTTCTCTTAAAGGATAAATCGCAGAAAAAAAAATTTAGTAAAATTTATCTTGCCGCGATGTTTACGCTCTTAGCAATTTTGTGCGTAATCACGGGGAATGTACCCGTTTAAATGAATGAAAAAAGAAATTGAGAAATTGATTTTCTTCGCACGGGTGCGATATATATAGGTGAAAAGATGAAAAAAGAAAATTTTTGTCCGAACCCAGAAGGTTACTGCGTTGGATTTAATTCCTTTTTCTTACGAGCATTATTTTTTTTACTCTACACTTTTGTTTTTCTGTCAAGGTTTTTTAGAAAATTATTTGTAGAAAATGAATATTTTACCAGTTCTTTCGTTAATGAAGAGAAAACTGGACGAGCTTTTTAATTTTCCAGTAAATTATTTCCTGTTCTTTTTAAAGATTCAAATTCGGGTTTTTTTTCTATTTTTGATGAAAATAGTTTAGCATTTTTGATAAAAATGAAACGAAAATTTCAGGTCTCGGATATTTGGACTTTCTTCGACTTTTTTCTTTTTAAAAAATCGACTTTTTTCCTAAAATACAAAGTTGATTAGATTTTTGAACAAAAATTCTTCTTAAAAAAAAGTCAATTATTTTCGAAAAATAATATTATAAAGAAGGAAGCAAATTTTTCTTGAAAATAAAAAATTGATTGGTTTTTTAAAATTCTTAAAAAATTCTTTCAAAAAATTATTATTTTCGAGAAAATGGCATTAAAATTATCTAAGAAAAAAATAGAGGGACTTTTTCGATTTTTTTTTTAATCTTTAATCGCCAAAAGTGATTTTTTTGAGCGAAAAGAAAAGAAAGAAAAGAGGAAAAAAACCTTAAAGTCAATCCGAGGCCTGTTATTTACAAAAAATGTAAAATCAAAATTTACAAATTTAGCCTTTTTCTGAAAAAAGAACTTTCGATCCACAAATTGTGATTATCAGATTTAAAAAAGAAAATTATAATAAAAAATGTTATTTTTTGAAATCTCTTAACACTAAATTCTTTTTTGATCCGATGAGAATTTTTAATTCAAAATTTACTAAATTGCCTGAGAAAACAATTTTCGAATCAAAAAATAATTTTTTAAGTCAAAAATACGTAAAAATCGCTATTTTACAAAAATTATATAAATTGTCAAAGCAAAAAAAAATGACATTTTTAATTACAAAACTAAAAAAAAAGGAATAATAATTTATCAAAATTAGTTTAAGTTTGTTTATCAGATAATTATTTACATTTTGATATTAGATAGGATTTAAAATTAAAAATTTTTTGTTCCGAATCAAGAGAGAGAGAGTGATTGTAATATTATTTCAATTACTTTTATTACCAGTTAAAGAAAAGCGTGCTCATTGGCCTTTTTACAATTAGAAGATTAAATAAGAAGATTTTTATGAATAATAATTATTATAATATAAATTTTATATACATATATGCATATACATATATACACACACATACATATTTATTGCCATATTTATTATATTAATTATATTATAAGCTTAAAGAATATTTAAGAATTTCATATTATTAAAAAAAAACAAATGGGCATTTAAAGTAATATTTATAATTGTCAATTTTTAAATTTTGCCGAACTGACAAAAAAAAATGTTGATGTTTCAAAAATTTTGAATTTTTAAAGTATTGACAAATGCTTTTAAAAGTTTTTCTTTTTAAATTAAATTTTTTTTTTCATTTATGAAAATGTGCAGGTATTTATTGAGAGAAATTGGTTTAGAAAAGAATGTTTTTTATTTTAAAAAAATATTTTTTAATTTTAAAAAGTTATTTTTTAATTTAAAAAGAATATTTTTTATTTTAAAAAGATTATTTTTTATTCTAAAAAATATTCTAAAAAATAATATTGAATTTTTAATCTTAAAAAGTATTTTTTTATTTTAAAAAGAAATATTTTTTATTTGAAAAAGAATATTTTTCTTCTTTTTCTGAAAATTTTTCGTTTTTCGAAAGAGTTATTTATTGAATTGTCGATTTTAAATTTATGATAGATTTTATATTACTTGTGTTGATTAATTTCCCTGGTTTGGAATTTTCGAATTTACAATTAAATTTTTTTGTTTGGTTTCGGTCAGATGTGAATTAAATTTTTACTGTTGCAGAGATTTTTCTTTTAGATTTCAATTTTTTTTTTTTTTACTTTTTTTTCTAAATTTTAAATTCGAATTTTTAAGGAGAGACTTAAAGAAAAATTGAATTTGAAAGAATAGTCCACTGTATTTTTTAATCGAAAGGAGAAATTTATAATTTAAAATTACGACCCGCTGGAAAATTTGAGGTTATGTTTCTAATCTTCGTACAATGAAGATAAACAAAAAAAAGATCAAATTTCAATATAAATTATTGATGTTTAATTCTCTCTTTACATATAGAATAAAAAATCGATCTTAGTTTTCTATAATTATAGAAACTTTTAATTGCGAGGTAAATTGTAAAACAAAAAATTTTATAATTTTTGAGGTTAGGAAAAGAAAAAAATAAAGAATTCAAACTAAATTTGATTAAAAGAACAATTTTTCAGGTAGAATTTAAACAAAAAGGATTTATAAGTAAATAAATAATAATAAATAAATTAAAACAGAATTGTTTGGATAAAAATTTTTTTGTCACAATTGTTAAGAAATAATATTTTTATAATTTTTGAGGTTAGGAAAGAATGAAATAAAAAATTCGAACTAACCAAATAAAATTGATTGTAAATTCGAAAAATCTTTTACTGCAGGGAAAATATGAGTTTCACATAAAATATTTATAAATAGTAAAAAGATTGTATAGCGAGAAAGAAAAAAATAAGTGCGTTAGATATGTTTAAGATGGTATATAAATTATAATATGAAATTCTTCTCCTAAAAGGCAAATATTTTACTGGAAATTTGTCATTCTTGTTATAAACGATGATGTAACCTCTGGACATTCGGATATTAAAGAGTTAAAATAAAAAAAAGAAAACAGTATAAGAAATATCTGAAATTGAAAATAGCACATAATGTATTTAATTGTCGCCGTTCGGAGCGAGTCTACAATTAAGAGAAAGTCAATTATCAAGCGTCTGTTTGTAGGCAAGTTGGCCGAGTGTTTTTTATTTTTTTTTTTTTAATTTTTTTTTGTGTAGAAAGGATTGTATCCGTATAGAGGAAGAAAGCAATGAAACCTCGGATAAAACCCCTCCTAAATATTGATTATACTATCGTATATCTAAATTAAGGGAGACCTTCAATGTACATAAAAAAAATGTAGCATAGCGAAAAAAAAACCCGACTCGTTAAGAGTTTTTAGAATCTTTAAGGCAAAAAAAAAAAAAAATGAAAGGTCTCTTTGAAGAAAAAAAAATTTTTTTTGTCCTTTTTTTCCAAGTTGAACGGAGTAAGTGAGAAAAAAAATAGAAAAGAAAGAGAGAGAGAGAGAGAGAGCGAAATACTTGGACGATAGAATGCACTCGACATCACGCAGTATTTATTCAATTTTTATTTTGAATGCATTCTTTCGTCCTATCTATGTGGCACACACGGCACAAAAAAAACGGTTATTCTCAATATTGAAGTGATTCAATTTAATATAAATTTTCGTTTTTTTAAAGTCTTCCTAGAAAATGAGAGAAAAAGTCGTTTTGTTTTTTCAATTCTTTACTTGAATATTCTATTGGAAGAAATTCGAATTCCTCTAGTGTTGATTTGAGTTATTTTTTAAAAATTTAAGAAACTTTTTTTTTTAAATTACTTTCGTAATCTAAAAAAAATAATTATTAAATAATTAAAAATCTTAATGGGAAATTAATTTAAAAAACTCAAATAGTTAACAAATTTTTGAAAATTACTTTCAAAATTCAAAACATCCATTAAACTGAAAAATTATATTAAAAAACGGAAAAATTACTTTGAAAATTCAAATAACATGGAAATTTTGAAAATTACTTTCAGAATTGAAAAATTACTTTATAAAACTGAAAAATTACTTTTAAAATTCAAATAGTTTAAAAATTTTGAAAATTACTATCAGAATTGAAAAACAACTACAAAATACGGAAAAATTACTTTTAAAATTCAATTAGTTCGAAACATTTTTTCAATTACTTTCAAAATTGAAAAATTACAATGAAAAACTAAAAAATTACTTTAAAAATTTTAATAGTTTCAAAAAGTTGAAACTACTTTCAAAACTGAAAAAGTCCTTAAAAAAGTGAAAAATCAAGTAATTAAAAAATTCTTAAACATCAATTTAAAAATTGAGAAATTACAATAAAAAAATAAAAAATTTCTTTGAAAATTCAAATACTATAAAAATTTTGAAAATTACTTACAAAAATTAAAAAATTACCTTAAAAAACTGGAAAATTACTTTGAAAATTCAATTACAGTTCAAACATTTTTAAACATTATTTTCAAAATTAAAAAATTAAGATAAAACACTAAAAAATTAATTTGAAAATTCAAATAGTTTAAAAACTTTAAAAATTGCTTTAAGAATTGGGGAAATTACCTTAAAAAGTTAAAAAATTACATTAAAATTTTTATCATATTGCTTTCAGAATTAAAAAAAAAATTTTTAAACTAGAAAATTACTTTCAAAGTAGAAAAATTACAAAAAAAACTAAAAGCTTACTTTCAAAATTCAATTAGTTTGAAAATTTTGTAAATTACTTTTAGAATTGAAAAATAACGATGAATTACTATAAAATTACTTTAAATTTTCAAATAGTTAAAATTTTTTTAAAATTACATTTAAGAATTGAAAAATTACCTTAAAAAGCTAAAAAACTACTATTGAAAATTCAAATAATTTCGAAATTTTGAAAATTTCTTTCAGAATTAAACAAATCCTCAAAAAACTGAAAAATTACTTTAAAAATTCGAGTAGTTCAATAAATTGTAAACATTAATTTCAAAATTGAAAAATTAAGATAAAAACTAAAAAATTAATTTGAAAAGTCAAATAGTTTAAAAACTTTGAAAATTACATTTAAGAATTGAAGAATTACCTTAAAAAGCTAAAAAAGTACCCACATAGCACAATAGTATGAGGTAAGGTTATGTTGAGTACTAATCGTAAGGCACATAAGGTTACACAATATTGCTGCGGTAGACCTGAGGTGAACTAAAAACTTCCGCCATGGAGGTAAGGTTACATGTTAGGGTGTGGTGAGTATATATGATAAGGCCATGGTAACCTTACACGTTAAGGTTAAGGTAACCTTACACGTTAAGGTTGATGTAACCTTACACGTTAAGGTTGAGGTAACGTTACATGTTAAGGTTGAGGTAAGGTTACATGTCAAGGTTGAGGTAAGGTAATTATTAAGTTGTAAGGTTGAGGTAAGGTTAAGGTAAGGTTGTGATAAATTTACCAGTTATGGAAAATATTGAAAAAATAATTAATAAATAAATATTCAATTAAAAAGTTAGTTTGTTGCTCCTCTCTATTTTGGAAACCTGACATGAAGCAGAAAATTTTGAAAACAAATTTGGGGGGACTGGGATTTGAACCCGGGATCGACGCGCATAAACCTATCATTCTAACTAACTGAGCTAAGTAGAGAACTGGTAGAAGGAAAATTAATATTGCCTTTAAGGAGTTAATCATCTTCTTGGTTCACCTTAAAGGCATCATTAATT